CTTTAATATAGTTTCAGCAGAATTTCGCTTTTTGGCGAAACGCCATCTTGCCTAAACCCCTAGGTTTCGGCAAGCAACCTCAAGGAGCTCCAAGTAAAAAAAGAATAAAAAGTGCTATAGAGATTTCAGGAAGGAGTGTGATACATGACATTACAAGTCAAACTAATATTCAACAAAGTAATGATGGTGATATAACGTCAAGATCACAACGAAAATGCAGTCTTTGTGGAAAACCAGGTCATTATCAGAAAAGATGTCCAAATGGTAGAGAGTAGATGCGAAATCAAAATATGATATAGTGTAAGTTTGTTAGATTATTTGATTATCCAATAGTTGTTATAGTAATTTATATATGCGCATTACTAATTAATTATTGAATTGCGTTACGTATTACTTAATTAGAGTGAATGCGAAATTGTACAATGTTGTAATACGTTTTTTAGGGGGAAGAGAAAAATCTATATAAAGAACTGCTGTCCGCAGGTGGGTGGGAGGTTTGGAAGGTTTGGAGAAAAAATAAAGTCTTTTCCAAATAATTTTTTTTTAATTGATTACTTCTAATGAAACTTGATCAATTTTTACTCAATAATTATAATAAAATATTCATTAGAAAGGGGAGAAAATTTTACATATTTTTATTCATTTTTATTGTACTTTTTATTGTATTTTTAATTACATAATATCATGTTAAAAATTGTACTTTTTTTAAAAACGAATTTTAATACAATAATTATAAATCATGTGATATGGTAAAATTCACCTTCGGTGAATTTCACCTCCGGTGAGCGTTAAAATAATCCTTTTATTTAATATATAATATATATTTAATACTAATAATATCCTATTTCACCTACAATAATATATTTAATACTATATTTCGCCTACGTATACAATATATTTAACACTAACATACAATGTAGTCTACATATATAATATTTCATCTTCTGTTTTTTAATTCTGAAGCATTTACCATCTACATTAAAAAATCTAGAATTCGTTAAGAAACCTACAAAAAAAAAGAAAAAATGATTAGTTAAAATTTCTTCAATAAAAAAAAATTCGTTTTGAAATATGAAACTTACACAATCTGTTCAATAAAAGTTTAAAGTGAAAACCTACAAAAA